TCCCCATCGTTCCATTAAATATCAAATAACCTTTCTTCCAAACTGATATTCTTACCTGGGGAGTACTGCCGTTTTTATTTTGTTTAAGCCTTATTAGGACCTCAAGCGGGACCAGAACCTGGTTAGTGTCTCGTATACTTTCGACGCATTACCATCATCGCATAATGCCATGAGTGGCACCAGATAACAGATCTGAGGCGAAATCCAAGGATGGCCAAACCTATCCAACATCAACTATTTATAGTGAGAATGTCGATAAGGCAAACAATTTGTGTATCACCATAACAACCGACTGCGTTACTTATATTCAATGGAAGAAAGTTTTGAGACTATCAGTAAATCATGACCATAGTAGGTGTAGATAAGAAGAGCAACTGGGTTTCTATGACTCTCCTGAGATAACATTGTTGGGGGACATTCATTTCGTATAAAAGTCCTTAGTGTTAATTTGAAACTTCTACAGGAATAAGATTCAGCTCTGAGGATGTCCATCATATGATAGAAGAAGGCTCAGCCCGTTTTCACCCGAAACCAGGAAGGAGGTCCGGTGGACCGCGTCAACCTGAACGTCGTATTAAAGCCAAACGGCTGCAGTACAATAGGATTCATCCGTCCTCTTCTGGTGAGATCTGCCTATGAACCTCTTTTTCATACGGAATGAAAGTCCCTCCAACAATTAAATTTTTTTGTCCTAAGTCCATTGGAGTACCCTTCATCATGTATTACGAAGGGTTCTTATCAACATCTTCATCGGTGCTAGAATGTTGAATGTGAATAATCATGGGGAAATTAGTTTATCCTTTCATTGAAAATCACTTTATAGGTGAAGCATTTCAATGCAAAAATGAGCCTAATTTACCTTACTTCATAAATCCCTGTAACACTATCAGAAACGTATGAATATCGACTGCGTAGCTCCGCAGTACTAATGTTTGATGGTCGAGGACAACTGTTGCGTTTTGTTTTTCTACTTGAAGATATCACTACCAGATTCATATTAATTTACGCATGCATACATTCATAAGCTAATTTCCGTTTTTGTTGGCATTCTCAAAAAGAAACGCATAAACAGGGCTGCAGAAAGTTTTGTACAATTAAAAATTCTATTAGTGTTTATTTGAAGGTGTTTTAAGGATAATGATTGGTTCAGACGAGCTATTTCGCGTAACAGATATTACAGGGAGAGGTGTCGCGATGACTACGCCAGCCCAAATTTTTAAGTGTCATCAAATATAGCTGGTCAAGACGATGCAGGCACTGAAAGCGAAATCTCCGTATTCAAGACATTATTTTAGGGTTTTCACTATAATTTCATGTTGTTTAGTCACCTGGGGACCCCCAGTTTAGTGTTTCCTGGGTGTGATTATTTGATATTCCTCAAGACATTGTGACGAAATAAATTTCGATATGATGCGCTGACGGTATAAGTGACTAGTAGTATTTGCGCATCTGTTTCATTAGTTGCATGTTTGTGTTTATATCTACATTAGACAGAGGCCCCAAGTTAATTGTATTTAAGGCAGTTTCTGGAACAGATTTTTCGTTGTTCTGGTGCTTGGTCCTTACGAAACATTGTAGAACCATCCCGCACCAGCCCAATCTACAGTCACCCGAAAGAGTCATAGCGTCGAGCTGCATCCAGGCCCCATCGGCCGGACAGAGTGAGGGTAGCAAGTTGATGCGGGAGAGTCAGAAGGGCAGACAACCGGACTCTTGGCAGGACGTGTGTGAGACGAGTTTTGACAAGAGGCTCTCAGGCAAATTCGCATGTTCCACAGGTCGAAGTTGGCGACCTACTCCGTCCCGGTCTAATCACAGCCCTGAGCACGTCCACCTACATGGTCGGCAGAACAGCAGAGGCATGAGAACAGGCACTCAGAGGAAACACACCACAAGTTGGAAGTAGAGGCGGATGACGAGAGGCAGGCTTCCGTGCGGGAGGAGGGGCGTAGGAACACACACATACATACATACATACATACATACATACATACATACATACATACATACATACATACATACA